TTATGCAGTAACTGAGGAGGGAAAGTGTTTTAAATGTGTAATAGGGAATTTATACTCCTCTGTAGCTTGGCTATGAGACAGAAGGAAAGACATGGGCTTGGAAACGATGTCATTTTTGTTCTGTCATTTTTGGACCTCCCTTGCAAACCATGACAGAGTTTATAGGAAAGTGTAAAGCCACCTTACTTACTTTTTAATTTCAGATGATTGCTTTGGATGGTATTTGAAATGCCTCAGTCTCTTTTGAGCCACTCGGTCAGCAGGGTACAGATTGGCAGAGGAGTTTTTGGAGGACAACTCTGTGTTTTTGTTTGGCTGGCTGGCTTTTGGGTGGCAGAAGAGGAGCTGGTACACACTTGCCATGTGGGCAGTGGGGTGTGATGCAGAAACTCATCCCCTGGGTGTTGCTTCAAGCTGTTGCCTCTGAATAGCAGCAAACTGTCTTAGCACAATGGGGATTTTTTTGAGTTTGACTGAAGACAAGAGTGGTAGTACAGTCTAGCTGTAAGAAAACCATCTTCTTTTTTTTTCTTTTTTTTTCTTTTTTTTTTAGGAGGAAATTTGCTTATTGGGGTTGCTGTTATTGATGTGAAAACGTGGCTTTCCTGTAATGTTGCAGCAGTGAGCTTCCTGTGAGGTTTTTCTTTAGATCCTTTTCAAACCAGACTGAAACCACATCAGAAACTGGAAATATTTAAGCATTACTCCTCTGTCTCTGGGTCCTTGCTGACTGTCTGGTGTTAATCTTAGCAAGTGATTCACTGAAATTGTTTTGAGTCTTCACATCAGTTGTGCTGCTGTGAAGTAACCCTCTAGGATAATATGTTTGCTTCTGGATAATGCATGTTTATTTTAATTAAAATGAAAAAAAAAAAAAAAAGGAAAACAAATAATTAGTGTCAGACAGTCACTTAGATGGAGAGAGACAGTAGAGATGCAGAAATGAAGACCTGGAGCACCTGATCAATTCAGCAAGGACTGAAGCCTGCCAGCAGAATGATCACGTGTTACAGTGTTGGCTGTAAGAGGCACCAGACATGTGGCAAGTGAAGAGGCGCTGTCTGTGGACTGGGCTGTATCCTGGCATGCTGAGGGCACGAGGGCTTGCCTGGCTTTGGGGTGGGGGACAGCACAGCTGGTAGCTGCCATGGGCACCTACAGAGGTGTTGGGGTCAACAGGCAGCTTGGCAGCAGTAGCAATAAAACATGGGGCAGCAGGCATGGTTTGTGGCTTAGGATGTTTGGTCTGGATGTGGGTAGAAAACCCCTTCCTGGGGACACAGCCTTGGAGGGGTCATCCTAGGTTTCTATCCTAGGTTGCCCTCAATTGCCTATCAGCTGCTTACCCATTGCAACTGGGCACCACTGCTCTGGCACCAGGATTCACTTTTAGGAATGGAAATTGCTTTTTTGGTGAGCATTGTAAAAGAACAGGGAGGTCTGGGGAAGGAATGGGTGCCTGAGCACTGGAAGGATGCCTTACACCCCAGCAGGGCTGGGTGTAGCAAACCCTTTCTCTCCAGAGAGGGGAAGGCTCCAGTAACAGCAAGAGGAGAAAGAAACTTCCTCTTGTGCCTTGCTCCAAATGGCTTGTGGGGCTTCACTAACTTTCAACTTGGTGTGTTATTGCCCCTGAACTGAATTGCAGCTGCGTGACAAGCACTGATCTTTCATCAGCTGTTACCTGTTTCACACATAAATTGGCTTCCTGCACCACGTACAGCTGGCATTTTATTAAAACATACCATGAATGAACAGAAAACATTGTTGCATAGTTTTTAACACCGTTAAACATCATTACATCAGTTTATGATGATAAAATATCACCATAGGTACAGCAAAATGGAATGGTCTCTGCTGGGATAGCAGCTACTTGATTTCAACTCCAATATAACAGAGATCAGCATCTGAGCACTTTGGCAATGCCTGGTCCTAGCAATCCTGATTTTAGTAGGGTATTGCATTGCCATGACCACAGCTCCCAAAAACAAGTGGTTAGGTGAGAATATCTACTCTCATTACAGAAAAAAGCATGAGTCTTTAAGCTTAAATTTTTATCTTGGAAAATTTGAAACCATGTCCCAAAGGTGCCTGCAGACTGAGAGCACAGGAGGCGAGTGACCAGTTCTGCTAACAGGTCTATTTCTTTTAATTTCTGTTTGATGAGTGGTGAGGCCAAGGTGGTACTTGCTGGCTTTTCAGGTCACCTGTAGTGCTTGAAACCATTTGACTTCCTTGGGTGTGCAGATTTTATATTTTTTACCCCAGTTCACTTTTTTATTCATAAAACAATCCTGCGCTGAAAACTCTCTTGTTCCGCACAGAATTCCTGATTCCAAGGCAGGACCATGTGTGGAGCAGCAGCAAAGGGTGTCCTTAGTGTTACTCTTTACCAGCATAGGGTAATAAGTTTGGAAATTAGGCTTCTTGAGATTTTTTGGAATCTGTGTCAGCATCAGCACAAATTCCAGAGCAGTCTACCATGCTTATTTTCACAAAGATCTACTTAGATCTACACAAGTGAGCAATCTTTCCCTCTTGCTCTCTAAATATAGATGACTGTCATACACATTCATGCATAATATGAATGGTAAAGTGATGAATTAATTAACATTTTGCAGAAATGTCTATTTCCTCTCCTCTGGGCACAGAAGAAAATACTATCTGCATCTTCATGCCAGTAGAGAGGACAGGATGGATATTTCACCCCCAGTGCCCCTGGCTACCCATTCAGGGCAGTGGGGTTAATGATGATCTGTATGTAAGGAGAGCAAAGTAACCTCCTTGTGTGATATATCATAGAATGGTTTGGGCTGGAGGGGACCTTAAAGACCAACTAGTTCCAACCCCTTCTCTATGGGCAGGGACACCTCCCACTAGACCACGTTGCTCAAAGCCCCATCCAGCCTGGCCTTGAACACTTCCAGGGAGGAGGCATCCACAGCTTCCCTGGGCAACCTGTGCCAGGGTCTCACCACCTTCGCACTAAAGAATTTCTTCCTAATGTCTAACCTAAATCTCCCCTCTTCCAGTTTAAAGCCATTACCCCTTGTCCTCTCACTACAAGCCCTTGTAAAAAGTCACTCCCCAGCTTTCCTGTAGCCCCTTCAGGCAGTGGAAGGTGCTATAAGGTCTCCCCGGAGCCTTCTCTTCTCCAGGCTGAACAGCCCCAACTCTCTCAGCCCATCTTCATAGCAGAGGTGCTCCAGCCCTCTTATCATCTTCATGGCCCTTCTCTGGACTCACTCCAAATGCGATATGTCCTTTCAGTGTTGAGGGCAAATATGCTCACTGGCATACCTGGCAATGAGCATGCAGTCAGCTGAGCACAAACCAAGTGGTCAGGATTAATAAATCTGGATCACCTATGGCTGCTGGTTTTTCCCACAGAGGAAGGTGCTTGTGGTCCCTGTGCTCATGGACTTCCTGGCCCGTTAGGATACGCAGGTGCTTCAGTGAGACAGATGGATGCACCACTGGTGTCACTGCAAGCCCTCCACTTCCTGCTCAGGTGCTGGAGGTCAATGGCCATTCCTTTATTCTAAAACCTATTGCAACTGGTGGTGTAAATGGACAGTGATTCTGCTGCACCAGAGTACCTGGAAACAAGAGATGCTCACCTCCAAGGTTTGGACCTCAAAGAGCCTTCTCTTTACAAAAATGAGGTAGTGCTCAAAAAAACAAATGGGAAGTAGAAAGTAATAGAATCATAGAACAGCTCAGGTTGGAATGGACTTCAAAAGATCACTTGGTTAAGTCTTTTGTAGGAAGGGGAACCTAGATGAAGTTATCCAGCACCCTGTCCAATTGCCTCTGGAAAATCTCCAGTGATAGGGACTCTACCATGTCACTGAGGAGGTTGTTCCAGTGAATGATTGTTCTCACTGTAAAGGATTTATTTCTTATATCAAGACAAAATCTCTCTTAGTGCAACTTGCACCCTCTGTCTTCTCCATGTAACTTCTAGTGAAGAGACAGCCTCTGTCCTCTTCGTAGTGACCCTTTAAGCACTGGAAGACTATGATGAGGTGTTTCCCCAAGCCTTCTTTTCTCCAGGGAGAAAAGACCTAACTCCTTCAGTCTTTCCTCATATGGCAGGTTCTAGAGCCCTTTGATCATCTTCCTGGCCCTCACTTGGCACCCCTCTGGGCTGTCTGTGTCTTCCTTGAAATGTGGGGTCAAGCCAATGTCATTCCTGGCTTAACACTGCTGTGATACATTTTGTATGAGCTTGTTAAAACAATCACTGCTGGAGAAAGCTGCCCCTGGGAGCAGATCTAGGATGAGCCTTGTTGCTTTGCCAGGAGATCTTGTTCCTTGTGAAAGGGGCTGGGGGACTAGTGCAACTGTTGACATCTGTGGGATGCTGGGGTTTGGGCATGTGGCTCCTGTGCAGTCTGTGGGACAGATTCCCATGGCCTCCAGCTACAGCCTCTCCTTACCATATTAAGAACATCTGGACAAAGAGATTTATAAACTCTCTCCCCTGATAGCGTTGTCTGTGTTTTATGTTTCAGTAATTTTCTGTTACTGAACTATTATCCATCAGTGGACTTTGTGGTAAAGCCTTTCCCAGGCTATTGAATGTGTGGCTGGGTCCTCACCTATCCTTCTTTCCTTCTTTTTAGCCCCCTCTTTCAGTTTTATGCTGGCTCTCTCAGCCCCATGTCCCAGGGCTGTGCCTTGGTTTGAGAGCTTGACACTGTCAGTTCTTACAAGCCAATCTGTGCCAACTTTGCTTTGTAGCTGGTCTGGGGACCTCAAAGGCCAGGCTGGGTTGATGCATGAAACAGCACTGATGCTGCTTCTTGTTCCTCACAGCTAATGTATTATTTGGGTGGTGAGGACAGCAGAGGTAGTTGGCTCAGTGGCCTCAGCAGCGCTTTTCAGGTACCTCACCATGCTCAAGAAACCTTTTTAGACTTCTGTCACAAGTCATGGCTTTATATTTTGTCATTCAAGAGGTCTATTTACTGACATCCCATGCTTCTTTCTTGCAGGCTCCACATCTGTTTGTTACAAGCCCACTAGCCCAGTCCAGGTACTGGAAGACACTGGCTTTCTTTACCAGGATCACCAGTTGTTTGCTGGCAGGCATGAAGTTTCTCCGCTGACAGCTGAAGTGATCAGTGCCAAAGAAAAAGCTGGTAAGTGCATCACATTCAGAGTTGAAGGCCAGCTTCTCAGCAGAGTCAAAAGGGAGTTACCTTTGACTTGAGTGTTGTGACCACCATCATTTGTCACCTGTGCTTGTGGAGGACACAGTGTTTCTGCTTGTTCTTCAGGACATGGCTGCTCTTCTCTGCACAGCTGGACCGAGGTCCATAGCTTTTTGCCAATGGAGCAGAACCACAGGCACCCTGTGAAAGGCTCACTGTTGGTCAATCCTTTTGGACCTCAGTAAAAGGCAACTAAGTACATCTCCCAGATATGAAGATGCTAAAAGATGAGTAGCACAGAGGTGAAAATCCTTCTGATGTATGATAAAGAGCCGCCTTGACTGTGTCACATTGGCTTTATCCACTCAGGCTTGTCTCAGGAGTAGTCTAGAAACATCAGCTATGAGCTTCCTGGTGTGTTAGGGTGCCTTTTATTTCATGTCTGCAAAAATGTGCAGTATGGTGAGGCTTCTGTGCACTGCAAGCACATGAATAAAGCATAAAGAGTCTGCTGTCACCAGGGACATACAAAGTAGATGGATACTTGGCTGTTGTGCAGACAGGTAGATGGAGGTGTGTGTGTCTGTGCATCTTGCTGGCTCAAACTCTGGTCTGAGGAGCTGACAGACCCTCTGACAGCTGCCAGGCCAGGCTGCAACCCCAGCTAGTCAGGCTGGCAGGCAGATAACATTGTCTCAGGGGAAGCTGAAGTGTGCTTTGTAGGGCAGGAGTGGAGTGAAACAGCCTGGGAATCTTCTCTCTCCCTTGAGCCCCACAATCATCTTTAAGGCTTTGCCACAGAAATGTTAGTGGAAATGACCTGTTCTCGTAGTCAGGAGTCAAAGGCTTTTCTTCCTCTGGGTTGTATGTAAATTATCCCACAGTGTGTGCAGTAACTGATGAAACCTTAGGGAAATACCAGACCTCAAGAGAAAGTTTTCTTTTTAACTACTTTCAAATGCCAAAAATGAATGTAAGTCCTTCTGAAGAATTCCTCTGAGAATTGGAAACAGCAGGAGAGAAAGTTGCCAAGAATGACCTCAAAAAACTGAACTGAAAACAGCATCTCCTTCTTCCCTAGGGACGTGGGAGGACTCTGTCCAGAGCTGCTGGCTTATTCTCTCTTTTATCCTCACTGGGGTCTTTCAGGAGCACCCCTCTGGGCTCAGACACTGGTCAGGCCACTGTCTTGCACCACTTTTGGGATGGGTGCAAGAGGAGGGCTCCAGGAGGGAAAGATCTGGATCCTAACCTCCCGGCTGTGGTTATATACCTTTATAGAATCATAGAATGCCAGGTTGGAAGGGGCCTCAAGGATGATCTGGTCTAACCTTTCTAGGTACTGCTGTCGTTTATATGAGATGGATCACCACCCTGTCAAGCTGAGACTTAAAACTGTCCAATGGGGGGGAATCTACCACTTCCCTCAGGAGACCATTCCAATGTTTAGTGGTCCTCATGGTGAAAAATTTACCTCTAGTGTCCAGTTGGAATCTCCCCAGGAGCAACTTGTGCCCATTACCCCTTATCTTTTCCATATCACTCTTTGTAAATAAGGAGTCTCTATCTTCTTTGTAGCCACCCTTTAAATACTGGAACATGATAATAAGGTCTCGCCAAAACCTTCTTTTCTCCAGGCTGAACAAACCCAGCTTTCTTAGCCTCTCCTCATATGGAAGGTCCTCCAGTCTTCTGATCATCCTGTGGCCCTTCTCTGGACCCTCCCCAGCCTGTCCCATCCTTTTTGTAGAGCAGGGACCAAAACTGAACACAGTGCTCCAGGTGGGGTCTGACAGGTGCTGAGTAAAGCAGGATGATGACTTCTTTATGATGATGTCTGTGATGTAGCCCAGCATCCTGTTGGCTTTCTTTGCTGCTGCAACACACTGTTCAATTCTTTTGAGCCTGTTATCCACCAAGACTCCCAGGTCTCTTTCCACAGGGCTGCTCTCCAGCCAGGTGGATCCCAGTCTGAACTGTGCTCCTGGATTAAATGTTCCCAGATGAAAGACCTTACAGTACTCCCCATTGAGCTTCATAAGGTTCCTGCTAGCCCACTTGTCCAGCCTGTCTAGGTCATCCTGGAGGGTGACTCTCCCTCCTGCAGTGTCAGCCTGTCCAGTCATCTTGGTGTTGTCAGCAAACTTCACCAGGCGCTCTTGATCCCAACATCCAGGTCACTTATGAAGATGTTAAACAGCATTGAGCCCAATATGGATCCCTGGGGGACCCCACTTGTGACTGGTTGCCAGTTCGAGGAGGAACTATGGGGCACATGGGGAATATGGAGGAGAGGGGATAGGGAGAGGATAGGAATATGTTTTTAGGGGTCACTGCAGACAGAATTAGGGATGAACCGGGGTGGGAGGGCGAGCAGGAGGCAGTGCCCTCCCTGCTCCCACTGCTTCCAGCCATACCCCCTGTGTTGGCAGGGGCCCTGGTCAGGGCAGAGCCCCAGGGCAGCACTCTGGGTGTGGGTCACAGCAGTGGGGTGCAGGAGGAGCCAGGGGCGAGGGGCAGAACTGGCCCTTCCACGCCGCAGAGTTAACGGGACCTCTCTCTCTCCCTGCCCAGCCGAGGAG